TGTGGTTTGCGGCGTAGGTAGCGGGGTAAACTGATGGAGAGGCCTGGGCACCCTTCACGTGAAGAACACTCATCAGGGCGAGTTCAAACCAAACCTTCTATGTGAGATCTGCTCGTCCATCAATTCTCCACGGTCCACATACAATGTCATCGAATTTCAGACCTCACTGACTGCATCATAGCAGGGGACATGGGTTGAGTTGCACTTTGCTGAAGGTCCCCTTTCCAGAAACGTTCTCTGTCAATGTTGTTACTCGGCACAGCTTGCCAATGTGACCCTGCTCAGCATGTGTTTCGCCTCCGCCTACTGCATATGCGGGGTATCATTCGTTTGAAGCTGGGAGCTCCCTGATCACTTTCAAAGGACACACCGGGCAACGAGAGTGGATTGGTCGGATGCTGAGACTGATTCAATATCGATGGCATCATTCTCTGCTGATAAAGCTTGGACAAGCAGATGCGAATTTCGAGCTGCATCCATGATTCCATGCAACGACGAGAGACAGATAGGGAAATTCGAGAACAGTAAATGGACCGCGACGGGTATGGAGTTCGGGCGACACGAGAACGACATCAGCAGCAAACTGGTCAACAAGGTTAGCTATGCGTCATACGCTCATTTACGCTAGCCGTTGCGAAGTTTGTACAAGCTTGGTAAGCTTAGACTGGGCTGGGCAAGTCTCAGAAGGCGCCGTTCTCGGAGTTATCGGGGGTTGCAGGCCGCGGTCGCGTCAATGACGAGAATCGTCTCAAGTTTCGAGCTTGAACCGGACAATGGCCTGTGTGTTCTTGTTTTCTGGTTTGACATGAAAAAGTTGAAAATTTCGGCGGATATTGAAGTTTGTAGGTGAGAGGCTGATCCGAGTCTCTCAACGTTCGCCGAGGCCAGCCACGGAGCATCCGAGGATATCGGAGGCTGCTCTCGCCTCACCGAGCCGTCACCGGCCGTCGGTCTGCCATGTGAGTCAGGGTCCCCTCGGTGTGTCCCGGTGAGCCCCGGGTTACCGAATGCGGCATCGGGCCCCAGGTGAGCAGGCCAATGGGAAGGCTCACATTTAAAGCCGGCCGATCATAGGCGCGCCGGCATGAAGCTCCGACCTCTCGGGGCCCACTGCGCTGTTTGCACTGATGTGACGCTGGGCTCAGAGTGTCCCGCAGCGCTCCCGCCTCCCCCACTTTCGACTCACACTGGGACCTTTTTTTCCCAATCAACAGCGAGTGTCGGCGTGCTTTCTTTCTGCCAATGCAGCAGCCCCAACACTCGTCACCACCACAAACTGCACCTCACTCAACACCAACGTACTCTTTTCCTTGGGTTTGGTTTTTCCTTGACGTCCTCGCGGGTCCGGATAATGCCAGCAGACCCCATTTAGCCGCGCAACGACGCCTCATGTCTCGCCGTGGGTAAGCCAGCAGCCAAGAGCGCAAAGAGCCGTCGTCGCAGGATCGAATCCCACCATTTGTCAGCCCCAAAGCGTCCCGAACTTGTGTCACACCTCGAGTCGATTCCCTCAGATCCAAACCTTCGTGATCCCTCTCCTCGCCGCCGTCCCTCGACAGCCCTCGCCGCACAGATCGGCCCACGAAGCCAGCCATGGAGATGGAGCACTTCTCGCCAGCAAGCCAGCAGTCGAATCCCACGACTCCCGCGACCACCGTCAACAACAACCCCCAGCACTCGCCAGCCTCTCCGACCACCTCTACAGCGCCAGACTTCCCCGCCCTCAGCCGCCATGGCGCAACGTCTATACCCCCCGACCAACCTGTCGCCATGACGGCGTCGGGCCAGCCTGCCCTCAATCCGCGCAGCTGCGTCACCTGCCGAAGGCGAAAGGTCCGCTGCGACAAGCAGATGCCGTGTAGCAACTGCCGCCGCGCCGTCATCCAATGCATCTTCCCCGCCCCCGGCCGCGCCCCCCGCCGCCCACGCCCAAAGGACCCCAACGCCCCGCCAAAGAACTCGACCGAGCGCGAGGTGGAGCTGATGAAGCGGTTGCGCAAGCTGGAGGGCATCGTCGAGGAGCTGAGCGGCCAGATCGAGGTGGAAAGCGGTCCCGGAAGCAGCGGCGGGCGCCAGAACTCGAGCACTGGCAACTCTCCCGAAACCACAGGCCACGAAGCGCCTTCAGAGCGTGGGAATAGGACGTTTACTGCTGCGCAACTCAATGCGATAAAGGAAGGAATTGCGGACGGGGCTGCCATGCAGAAGAAGTTGGACGCAATCGAAGAAAAGACGAGGGGGATGGAGCCCAAGGCCGCGAGCGTCAGCAAGTCATTTGGCCGCTTGGTGTTGCACGACAAGGGAAAGACGAGCCGATACGTGAGCAGCGCGTTTTGGTCCAAGCTGAATGATGAGGTGAGTCGGTCGAGAGCCGTCATGTTTCGTTAGCTGACGGGGGTAATACAGCTCGACGAACTTCGAGAACGGGCGCGCATCCTCGATGAAGAGTTCAGCGACGAGTCTGACCAGGAAGACACACCGGATCACTCGCCCCTGCACGCCGTCGACGCATCGACCGATCACCACGCATTTATACTGGGATACCGATCGTCGGATGTTGACTTGCGCAAGTTGCACCCACTACCGTCGCAAATACCCTTCATGTGGCAGGTGTACCAGGAGAACGTGGAGCCATTGCTCAAGATTCTGCATATCCCGACAATGGAGAAGCTCATTCGAGACATGCGACGCAACATGGACGATCTTACGGCCGGTCACGAGGCTTTGTTGTTTTCCATCTACTACGCCGCCATTACGTCCATGGAAGACGAAGAGGTTTGTGCCTCTCCATCTAGCACACTGGCTCCAGCTAACCACCAAGCTAGGTCGAGAAGAACTTCGGTTCCAAGAAGGACGAGATGCTGTCGCAATACCGTTTCGCGCTCGAACAGGCCCTCGCAAAGGCCAATTTTCTCAATACCTCGGATATCGTAGTGCTGCAAGCCTTCGTCCTGTTCCTTACCCTTGTACGCCGCCAAGACGACACGAGATTCTGCTGGACGCTCACCGGGCTTGCAATCCGCATGGCGCAAGGAATGGGCATCCACCGCGACGGAACAAACTTCAACCTCCCGCCTTTTGAAACAGAAATGAGGCGCCGCCTGTGGTGGGCCATCTGCACCCTCGACCTGCGTTCTGCCGAGGAACTGGGTAGCGATCTTACCATTATCGATCGCTCCTTCGATACGGAGCTGCCGTCCAACCTTAATGATTCGGATATCGACCCAGGAATGATTGAGCCGCCAACCCCACGCCAAGGCAGGACGGATTGTGCGGTTTCACTTGTTCGTTACGAAATTTGCGCCTTGTCGAGAAGGCTGCACACCGTCGGCTCGGCAATGGCGGGTGTCTGTCCGCGCGATGCGTCCTCTACTCTCGAACAGCGCGAGAGCAAGCTAATCGAAGTTTACAACCGGGTCGAAGAGAAGTTCTTGCAACATTGTTTCACGGATGACGACCCGCTGTTCTGGATGGCGGCCATGATCGCCCGTGTGATCATGGCCAAGATGAGCCTGGTCATCTACCAACCCATGCTATTCCCCGGCAACGGGAGCGAACTGTCAGGCGAGATTCGCGACAGACTTTTCGTGTCAGCAATCGAAATTGTCGAGTATAATTATATTTTAAACACTGACCCCCGCTGCCGTCAATGGCGGTGGCTTTTCCAGACTTACAGACAGTGGCATGCCATTGCGTACATCCTCATGGAGGCCGGTCGACGCTCGTGGTCTGCCACCTCTGAGCGCGGCTGGGAGGCAGTCAACAAAACCATTCGATTTGACCAGGACCCTGGTGAAATAGCTAAGATGGCAGACCACATGGCTGTGTGGATGCCGCTGCGAAAACTCAGCGCGAAGGCCACGAAGCATCGCGAGGCAGAGATTGCGCGTCTGCGAGCAAACCCCGAGGCCGCCCGCCAGCTCGACGTCGACGACCGCATGGATACGATCCCGGCCAGACTGGGCCCGGTGCCCGGCATGGAGAGCCAACAACAGGCGATTCGCACACGATGGAGGAAGCTCTGTGGGGTTCGGGCAGATTTGCCCATGACACAACCGCCACCCGCCGAACAGAGGAGTCCGAGTAATGAGAGGTCCACGGTGGAACCATACCCTCAACCCAAACCTGCCGGAGAGCCGGTCAGCATGTTCCCCGGCCAGGTGGTTATGCCCGACGAAGACTCGGAGCTTGATACGGTCATGATGTCCCGAGCGGGCTTCACGTCCAGCGAGATGTGGGAGTACATCTACCCCACGGCGCAGTCCATGGCCGCAGACCCGAACAACACACTTTTCCCACCCAGCGCGATCCAGCCGCCGGCATCGCAGCCACCCATGGTCACGACGGCAGTCCCCACGCCGGCTATTTCCAACAACACCCAAATGACCGACGCCGAGCGGAGGCAAAGGCAGCAGGCCATCGCCGCCACGTCCCAGCCGCAGATCGCGTCGTCCCTCAGCGACAACCAGCCGCCATGGTTGTGGTCCGACCCGTTCACGTCCATCAACAATCGCTTCGACGACGTGCCAATGGACACGATGGATGTCAACATGGATAACCTGGACGATTTCAACTGGCAGAATTGGCAAGAGAGTATCAAGGGGTTCGAGATGGACCCGGAGAATATGCCGGCCAAGGGGGCCTGGTAGAAGGGGGGTGAGTACTTTGGACATGTCTCCTCTCACGCGACGGCCCTTGGAAAGGCTATGTAATGATACCCACTGCAAGCAGAGGTAATGAATGAATGATGAGATGTATTTTTACCATGTCGATGCCATCTACAACGCCTAATCATATGTCGCCTAGCTTCAACTGATGTCACTCCCCCCAACCTACGCATCCAATTCCTGGCTCTCTCCCCTCTGCTACCCCTTACAAACAAGAAGACATTATGATCCCTAAGCAAAAAGCAAAAAGAATTGGACGATCAGGGAATCGAACCCTGGACCACTCACATGCTAAGCGAGTATTATACCACTAAACCAATCGCCCAATTGCTCTGATTTCGCCCGGACTTGAACCGGAGACCTTCAGTGTGCCAGGTGAGGGCATTCGGAGAATGCGCTCGATCTGTTAGACTGACGTGATAACCAACTACACCACGAAACCATTTCTTGTTGTGGAGGGGAACAGGGGGAGATGGCTTTGAGGGTGGGCGACGGGAGGGCTACTGGAATCCACTTGGGAGCGGGACTGGTGAGTAATATGGGTTAGTAGAAATGGAAAGTGGATGGTTGGATGTGTATGAAGTTTCGGGAATTGTGAGTGTGAGCGAGGTTATATAGTTTATATAGTTTAAATGTGGAATAAGAATGTGTGAGAGGCTTTGGAACTTCAGTGAGATTGAACGAGGCTCGCAGGCGTTTCTCGCCTGTCAGGCGAAATAGCAGGCGCAGCCACAGTGAGCCTGCCGTGGCGGTGCGGCGGTGCAGGAGGCATTCGGCGTCTCACGTCTCACTGGCCGATGTGACTCAGTGAGTTCATTTAAATGGACCTCAACTCACCCTCTTATCTCTTGGTACTGATCACTCAACGAGCCTCCATCTCATTCTTTTCATCTAGATCTTAGGTAGTTTCTGGTGAAAAGATGTCTGTCACTACAATCAACCCCTTCGCGAACCCGCGCATCGGCGTCGCGGCGATCGTCCAGCGCAAGGATGGCAAGATCGTGGTCGGCAAGCGGGAGAGTAGCCACGGCGCAGGTAACGTCAACCCTTCTCAAATCCCGACTCCTGAAGGTTCCTTATTTCTATGGGCTACGAGGAATTCCTTGCGGAGTCCTTCACACTTGCAGTCTCACTCGGCCTACGATAATCGGACGCTGACGTTCCTGCGCAGGTACATGGCAGCTCCCCGGCGGGCACCTCGAATTCGGAGAGTCCATCTTCGGCTGCGCGGAGCGCGAGACCCTGGAGGAGACGCAGCTGAAGGTCAAGGCGAGCAAGATTGTCGGCGTGACGAATGATGTATTTGAGGAGTTGGGAAAGCACTACGTGACGCTGTTTGTGAGGTGCGAGATGGAGGATGAAGCGGCTGAGCCGGTTGTGAGTCCAGCCTTTCCCATTTTATGTCAGGTTGTTACTCTGTATTTTTGCTAACGATAGGCAGAATCTGGAGCCTGAAAAGTGCTCAGGGTGGTACTGGATGTCGTGGGAGGAGGTTAGAGAAATCAATGTCAAGGCAAAGGAAGGAGGTGGGATGAAGCTGTTTATGCCGTTGGCGCATCTTGTTGAAGATAATCCTGATATTTAGAACGCATGAGATCTAACATTTGCATAGAAGTAATACATCTATAGATCTTTTGCGCCCAGTCTTAGTTGGCTTTCTCTGAAGCCAGCCTCAACCCTCTACTGAGACCCGGCAACTTATGGATCACCGAATTTTCATATCCCTCATGAATTCTTGGCCTCTTCCAAGTCCTCATCCGTATTCTTCGACGCGTTTCCCGAGAGCTAGAATCTCAAAAGTCAGCATTATCCCCTCACTATCAAGACATACCAAACTCACCCCAATCAGCATCCTCTTATCTCCAGGCACAACCATCTCAAAAGCATCATTAATAACCCCATACTCAAAATACCCCAGCCTCGCAATCGGATTCGTCTTCCTCACATCAATCTTGCCATCCGTCAGCGCCCACTCGTCCACATGCACCCCCACCACCCGTCCAAACACCACGTCCACCGTCCCCATGGGCCCCTTGCCCGGCAGCCGCACCGTCTGCACGTACTCGCACTCAAACCGCACCGGCGACTCCTTCACCATCGGCACCGGCACGCGCAGCCCGCGCGAGAAGGTCTTGGCGAGCCCCGCGCGCGCGAACTCGTCCTCGTCGGGCGGCACGGCCTCCGCGGTGACGTTGACGGCCTCGCGCAGCGCGTAGGTGCACAGCTGCCAGCAGAAGACGCCCGTGGCCTCGATGTTGTTGACGGTGTCCTTGCGGGTCTGCGTGGCGTCGTCGGGCAGCGTCTGGTTTGCGGAGAACATCACCATGGGCGGGTCGAAGGTGACATTGGTGAATTGGGAGTAGGGGGCGAGGTTGTGCTGGCCGGTGGGCGAGGTGGTTGAGATCCAGCCGATTGCGCGGGGGACGACGCAGGCCTGGAGTGGGAGGTTAGTGAGTGAGATGGAGATTGGGAGGGTGTAAGGTTTACTTTGAAGGGGTCGTGGGGGAGACCGTGGTCGTTTACGCCTGGGTTGTAGTACATTGTTGCGGTGTTTGGGGTTTCTGGAGGGTCTAGCGGCTCTGTGTGTAAGTGATAGACGATATTTGCCGGCCGATTTGAACGTCACTGCGGCTCACTCGTTCTTGGCGGGAATATTTATGATAGAGCATGGAGAACCAAAGTTCCGTTGTGCTGACCTCGGATCCGGATTACGTCACTTGTGAAGCACGGTCGGGGAGTTCGGAGAGTATGCTCTCTCGGAGTTTTCGGCTCCTCGGCACGTTTGACGGGGAATGGAATTGGGACTTTCGATCGAAGGAATTCCCTTCATTTGGCCTTGTTTGATTCGCTATTTGAAGTATCTTCTTCGTGGATCTAGCTGCGAGTTGGTTCCGGCCCTGTTTGTAGTTTAGGCGGCGGAAACGTAAGACTTTATCCCACGCCATGTTGGCCCAGAACCCATCAATTTCCTTCCCGTCATTTGGGATACAACTCGTAGTTTTCGGAAGAGGTTACAAGAATATCACCGCTTTTCTCTGAGAAGAGTGTAGTCAGGTGTAGTGTGTGGTAGCCTGGAAACGATCTCCTAAGTGATGGCGAAAGGCAAGGCCGAGTTACGAATGATTGATCATTGAGCGTTCATATAAATCTTATGAATGTTAGACCATCGGCGACTCCCCTAGTGAGGCTAATCAGTTTCGCACATGGGCCTGTCTCCTCACTATGTTGGCTACTGAGATTATGACCTAGGTTTGGCGCTGACGTGGGGCTCTTTAGAACGGTCAGTCTCAATATCTCAAACTCAACGGGCTGTCAGATCGGCACCTTCCCTCTATTCTCCCTCGAGGACGTTGATCCCCTTAAGAAAGTGAAGTCCTTGGAGGCGCTCGCAGTATGAAAAACCTCCCCGTTATACTGAGAGGTTGTCATTTGGCGATTTGCTGAAATGTAGTTGTCTCCTGGTAGGGATAACAATAAGAATCATCGAGCTGATTTGTCAGTGACACCGGTTGTTTGGATACGTGTGAAAAGCCTGAACCGGCTGTGTGACCAAAGACAGCAGAATCAAACATCCGGATCGTAATTATGATGCCAAAACGCACCGTGACGCCGAGCATATATTCTTGCACATTCTCATAGACGTGACAGGCGCTGTTCGCCTTGGAGACCTGTTTGTCCATAAGATGAAAACATTCCTGTTGCCTTATGTAAGTTGTATTAGTCTGTTCGCATCCACCATCGCCTTCCGAGATGCTAGGGGTAGACCACTGAATGAGTTAATCATTGTGAGTTGGTGCGTCCTACTGTGGAAGCCTACTTCGAAACACAAGTGATCACTCCGGAGTCAAATACCGAGCGATTGCTACCAATGAATCGACATCAAAATGATACCAGGGCTATATGGGCCACATGGTTCGCAACATCATAAAAGAAATCTCGAGTCAAATGACAGACAGGCGCAGACAACTCCGCAGCTACGGACAGAAATTCCTAACTTGTTGACATAAGCAATATGGTAGAACTATCTGGAAGGCAGCTTTTGTACAACTACTGATCCAGGCTAATGCCTTATGAGTCTCAAACCCATTTCCAATGTCTCTGGCACGAACGCTTAAGATCTGTCGTCTTCGAAGTAGGGAAAGAGAAGCAAGATGACGTCAATTTGCAGCCTGAGAATTAAACTTGAACACCTACATGCCGACGTGGTTACCAAGTCTGGGCTACAAGCTGCGTTGACTTGACCACGCCGTTTTTGAATGGCGTAAATGGGCGCAAATTGAAGCTGCACACCTTTGTTCGAAACACGTTGTCATGGCTGAGCAGGCACTTGCCGGTGGCAGTGGATGCAATCGTGGCCGAGTGGCAAGGGGGCGTGGTGCCACACGTGTGTGCTAGCAGCTTGAGGCGGTGAGGCGTTACCACATTTGCGTTAGAGCGCCAGGAGGATCAAAGGTGGCGCTTCACTAATAAGCACCGCAAAAAAAGTACTGTGAGGCGCCAACTGCCGACTTCGATCACCCGCAACTGCCGGATTCCATAACTCCCAATCCGGCTCCTGTGCATGGCGGTATGCCCGGATCATGGTTCCGTCGATCTAACCGCTGAATATTCGCCGTGTGAAACATCATCACGATCGGCGCGAAGAGGTTCGACCAAGGTAAGACATTGTTTCCTGACCACCTTCATTGTTTATGATGAGACACGTTCTTATGAAACCAAAGTACAGACAAGAGCTTCCTATCACGCAGCACTGCTCTTATTTGCAAAGAACTGGACACTGGAAGCCGTCTCTGTACGAATCCCACTAATTCTTGTCCACCTAAGTGTTGTGCAATTAAGCCACCCGGGTCGGACGCCTCCGAATCCACGCGATGCTCCCTTACACATCAACCCCGCGTTTAGCTCACGATAGCGTCCGCTGGTCCAGGCCGGGCCTTTGTCTTCTGAATAGGTTTCCTTCACCACAGCAACCGTGCTCACACCTGGGTCGATTGAAAGTGCATGTCAGAGAGAGACTCTCGGTCTTATTCTGTGTTAGCCTTTTCTTTCGACATCTTCTTTTCTGACTCGATAATCGACCCCCCAGCCGAGCTGTTTTAGTGTAGGGGATAATTACGGGTCCCGCGTCCTGGGAACCAAAAGGGGACGATGTGCTCGCGCACTAAGATTATTCGCACCAGTAACCAACTTAAGTTTTGCCGCTATCATAATCTTCGTATGCCTCTTATTATTATTAGCCGTTCGAGGGTGGTTTATTCAGGCCACGGCCAGCGACTTCTTGCTTCTCTCTTGTTTCTTCCCTTTCACTCTCTCCCACATCACTGCCATCATCATCAGGGATAGCAGCAGCCGCAGTATCGCTTGCGATGAGACATTTGCTATGGCTTAGCCTTATGGCCACTTCCTGGGTGGCTGCCCAGGGATCGCTGATAGAGTACGCAG